CTGATTTTATTTGTTGGTGTAGATGGAGTTTTTTTTTATATAATGGGATAAAAAGACAGTACATGACTACATATAACTATACATGACTGTGTTATACTATAGTCATGTGTAGTCAATTTCAATACATTAAATTATCAAAAATTTGAAAAAAAAAATTTCAAATTAAAAAAAAAATTAAAAAAAAAATTAAAAAAAAAAATTAAAAAAAATTAAAAATTAAAAAGTTAAAAAAAAATTAAAAAAAAATAAAAAAAATTAAAAAATTAAAAATAATTAAAAATAATTAAAAAATAAAAAAAAATAAAAAAAATAAAAAACAGGGTTATATATAAAAAAATAATAATAAATAAACATTTATATTTTTTTATTAAGAAAATCTATAAAAATGGTAAATGCAGGGCCAAATACTATATGTAGTTGGCCAATGCTGAATGCAGTCAGCAAATTACTAAATCAGTAGGGCAAATATTATACAAAAGGGCGCAATTGTACTTTTGCCTCTCCAGGGGTGTATCTCAAAGAAAGAATTTTAGGGGTGGACCTTTCCCCATATATTTTCCATATTAGGGGTGTATATCAAATAGACCCTTTTTTATTATAAAGAATATACACACTTCTACCAAATCTGCATGTTTCATTTTTTTAATAATTCCGGTAATTATTTAATATTAAGTAGTATACAAGTAAATTATTTCAACATTATTTCATTTAGTATTTCAAAAGTAAATTAATTAATAAAGGGGCTCTTTGAGAAAACCCCCTCATTATTTTTTTTAATTGAGGGAGGCCCAAAATATTTTAGTCCATTTGAGAAAAGTCCACACCCATTTTCAGCCATTATGCTTTCCAGCTTTGTCCCCACCCGCCACATCATCACTGGGTCACGCTCAGCAATTTTTTTTTTTTTTTTTCCGTTTTTTTTCTTAATCGACTATGAAGCATAGTCGATTAAGCCTTAATCGACTATGCTTCATAGTCGATTAAGGAAATTATTTAATTATTTAATTTTTTTTTTGTTTTTTTAATTTTATTTTTCTATATCAGGTGTATTAATCGACTATGATGAAGCATAGTCGATTAAGAATCTGCTACTAAACATAACAAATTACAACTGCGAAAAAATGCAAAATCAACTATATTTTAGAAAGAAAAAAAAAATATACAAACGTTATAAATGATTTATACAATTGAAACAATAAACAAGAAATCCAAAAAAAATAAAAAGAACTGGAGTCGATCAACCTTAATCGAATACCAGAACATAGTCGATTAGCTTAATCGACTATGAACATGTACATAGTCGATTAAAAAATAAATTCTATTTAAATTAACCTTCCGATATGCTCAACACCGACTTTGGAGAAGGGATCGCCCGCCGCACTTCCTCCGGCCGTTACGTCAGCTACTCACACGACGACCTGGACAGCGAACTCGGCAGCAACGACTTCCTCAACTACACTGTCCAGATGCCGCCCACACCTGACAACCAGCCCAACAACAACACCACCGGCAACAACCCCGGCTCCGCCCAAAAAGTGGAGGAGCAGTTCGTCTCCAACTCCCTCTTCACCGGCGGCTTCAACAGCATCACCCGCGCCCACCTCATGGACAAAGTCATCGACTCCTCCTCCGACGCCAATTCCCACCACCCCCTAATGGGCGCCGCCGCCGCCAAGGGCTCGTCGTGCTCCGTCAACTAATGCGACGGCAAGGCCATGATCGATACCCTGCCGTACGAATTTGTGTGTGTGTGTGTGTGTGTGTGTTTTTATGTGTGCGAGAGAAAGAGGAGAGAGAGAGAGAGAGAAAGAGAGAGAAGAGATAAGAGTGAGAAAGGGTGGTTTGAGAATTATTAAATAATATTTGGGTAAAATATTAGGTAAGGGGGTTTTCTCTAATTATTTTTGGGAGGGGGGTTTTTCTTAACTCATTTACCTAGATGAGGGGGGTATTGCTAATTATCCCATTAATAAAACGAATTATTATTTTCGTTGTTGTTTTAATCTATTATAGATTTTAACCATAATCGGTATATATTAAGATTATATTGTCAAACGATTTTGTTAATGTTTTTATTAATTTTTGACACGCATAAATCGATATATCATGTATATTCCAATTCCGATTCAAAAATATCTGAAATAAGAATTTTACCGAATTCAGAGATTGTTCGAAAATCGGAAAATTTAATCTCAAAATCGACGAAAATAGTAAAATGTGTTCGTTAGACCCATATCAGCAATTATACTCGTTAGTAAGGAAAAATAACACTGTACTCCTTAAATAAATAAAAAGAAAGGATTTCGCCTTCACCTGGTTTTCGTCGAAGTATCCTTTGCTCCCGAAACATACGAACACCACCGACGAAATGGGCTGTTTGTCGAGCCACTTCCTATCCCCGTCGTCATCATGATCATCTCCACCGTAATCCAATATTGGGCCGATGGGGTAAATCGGCGGCACCATAATTCCCCTTGAGAGGGACTCGATAGCGTGACACTCCAATCCGGAGAACGTGTTCACCAAGATCCCCTTCATCTCTCTAAACCTTGATGCATGGTCGAGATACAATGCGTTCTTCTCAAACATTACGGATGGCAATAACTTGGTCGGGACAGGGATTTTATAAGACAGGATTTGTACTATCTCGTCGTGATTAATATTATACTCCCCATTCGGATAATCCCTCATGTAAGTAGCCACGCGGAACTCGTTGGCCACATCAATCATGCCAGTGCAGAACATGTCGACAACGAATCCGGCAAGCACAGTGGGGCCCGTGCCGAAGCCTCGTACTAACTAACAACCTCGTTTCTTGCGTGGTCCTTGTGAGCGTCGATGAATCGGTTCTGGAGAGAGAAAGAGGAATCATCGGTGAAAGGCGATATGGACGGGACCCGCGGGAGGACCACTAAGCGGATACTTGGGTTGGATTCGGGTCGTGATGAAACGGATCCATAACGAGCAATGTGATCGAGAGCCGTTGATCGGATCTGTCGACAAGTAGATTTGCCATCTTAAGTGTTGCCTGTAGGTGTCCCCTTCCTGGAGAAGGAATTACCACAAGCTCTTTTTTTGTTTTCTCACTCATGTTTCCTTTTTTTTGTTTTGTTTTTGCAACTAGTTGAGAAACAAAGAGAATTAGTATCATCCCCTTATAATTGAATATTATTCATAGGGAATTGTTGGCTTCTATTAAATTCAATACACAACACGATTTCCTTGAAGAAAGCTACTTTTATTTTATTTTATTTTTGTTCAATACACAACATAATTTATCAATTTACTCCATGTGGATTATAGTAATCAGCACGCAGGATCAACCGGCTCTGTTGTGTCGGTGTGTGTTGCGAAAGAGTTGTTTAATTATGTGTAAATGTCGGAGTTGTTTTAGAAATTATAATCCCACCTATGCAACTGCTAACTAGCTAATTTCTCATTTGAACATACTTAGAAATTGTTGATTAGTATAGGATTCGAGATTGGACGGGCTGAATCAAAATTAGTATTTCATTGGCGAAGCCAGAATTTCATTACTAGTGGGCCGAATATACAAAAATTTATGGAAAATAACATAAGTAAATAAATGACAATTATGATTGTTCCAAGAGTGGCGAGTTTAGAATTTTGACATGGTGTTTTAAATTTTCAGGTGTTCATTCAGAAGCAGTGCCCCTGTAATTTTCTTAGGATTTGTTGTTTTTACAAAATTAGAAGATCATAAAAGAAAAATATTTACGATTTTTTACATTAATTTTGATTTTGGGTGGAGTAACTAAGGCCCCGTTTGGTTGCCAAGATAAGCCATGATTAACTAAATAGTTGTACTTAATTTGATGTTTGGTATCATCAATAACTTGCCGGGTCGACCCGCCAAAATTATATAATCATGGCTTATCTTGCCTTATCTTGGCTTATCTTGCCTTTTAATGAGTTTTTTTTGTTGCACCTTTCAAGCTCCAATAAAATAATTGGGTCTCATTAGATTATTTAATCTTATCTTGGCTAATCTTATCTTGCCAACCAAACGAGGCCTAAATATATAACTATAGTATAATGGAATTTTTTCAATGGAGAGTTGGCTAGAGTCTGCCATTGTCCAAGCGCCCCTGTAATTTTCTTAGGATTTGTTGTTTTTACAAAATTAGAAGACAATAAAAGAAAAATATTTATGATTTTTTCGCATTAGTTTTGATTTTGGGTGGAGTAACTAAATATATAACTATAGTATAATGGAATTTTTTCAATGGAGAGTTGGCTAGAGTCTGCCATTCTCCAAGGGTGGACTCGCCCCTCGTTCCAAGCAATATTTTAAAAACCGGACCGGCTGGTCCCTGATTGGAACCGCAAACAGTCGCCATGTCCATTCCGGTTATACATGAAAACCCAAAATAGTAAAAACCACCTGGTCAACTACCAAAATTCTGGAGTAAAAAACCATTTTTCTACTAGTGTGAAAGGTTAGAACACGTATTTACGAAAGCTAACAATTTCTTCAATTCTTATTCTTCAACACAAAAACTTACAATTTCTTCAATTCTTCTTCTTCAACATGAATCTCTTTGTAACTCGCAATAAAATCTAATAAACTATCGAAAATAGAAATCTGCCTGCTACCGTAATCGTCCACCCAAACACAGCCTCAGGCCCAAGTGGTAGCTAGATAGTCATGTGGATTGTTAGGTGAGTACATATAGAGCAGGAAAAGGAAAAAAAAAAAAACAAAACAAAACAAACAAACAAATATAATCTAAAAATCCAGTAATACTTTGTTTTTCTATGAATTTTAAAATGTATTAGTAGATCATGTTGGTTTAGAATATTTATTCACGTTAAATTTTAATTAAAAATCATCAACTGGCCCATGGAGTTACTGCCTATACTAATTATATAATGAGATTGAAATCCACATGCCCTTTATTTTAATTACTATGGTTCAAGTTTTGTATTTGAAAATTCAAACCAGTGAATCAATTAAAGCGTATAAAACAGCAGCATATCTAGCTAGCACATAATTCACAAAAAACCGAGAAATGGCTTCCGTGGTGCCAATTCCTAGCATACAAGACCTTAGGGTCATATTCCATGAAAAAGTTCTTGTATCCCCGTCCGAGAAAACCGAGAGAAAATCCATGTTTTTGTCCAACATAGACCAAATGCATAATTACAACGCGCACACAGCTCATTTCTTCACTGCGAATCCAGATTTTCCTCCGAAAATCGTGACCGAAAGGCTCAAAATGGCTCTTGAAAAGGTGCTAGCGACATATGATTTTGCCGCGGGAAGATTAAGAACGAACCAGGAATCAGGCCGATTGGAGATCGAATGCGATGGAGCTGGTGCTGGTTTCGTGGCCGCTTCTTCGGAATATTCCCTTTGTGACTTGGGGGACGATTTGGTCTTTTCCAACCCAGGGTTTCGGCAGCTCTCAGTTTTGTTTGACATTTTGCCACGCGATGACCAACCACTACTCATTTTACAGGTAACATCCTTCAAATGCGGTGGTTTCGCAATTGGCACGGCAATGAATCATACCTTGGTTGACGGGGCAGGCGCACAAAAGTTGCTGGCTGTTGAGTGTAGATATTACACTCAATACGTTTACTTTACGTGGATCTTTTGTTTAGATTTAATTATATTTGTGCTTTAATTGATTGATTTTGTGTTTTATAGGTGAAAAACGAGAATTAGGTGTTCATGAAGGAAAAAAGATCAAAAAGAAAGGAAAAAGTTGCAAATAAGGAAACAAATCAAATTGGAAAAAGGAATCTCGCCACAACTTTGGCAGTGTCCACCATTTCGAACATATCTCTCTCATACGAACTCCGAATTAGGTGATTTTGACGGCATTGGAAAGCTAATTTCAAGGCCTACAATTCTTATTTACACAACATTCCGAAATTAGGACTCCACCATGGCACAAATCGACGAACACATCCTGATGGGGAAAAGTGGCGGAAATTGATTCCTATTAGGTTTCCACTACTTCCTTATCAAGAAAAGCCTATAAAAGCAACAAGTCTCTACACCATAAACACGAAATTTTACACCACAAAACACGAAGAACGAAGAATAACGAAGGCTCAAGCATAGTTTTTCTTATTTATTTTATTTATTCTATTTTGTTTATCATAAGAATTACGAGTAGCTAAGTTTTTAATCTAGGATTTTGTTGGAACCCTATGTGGGGATGGTGAACCCGTTTTCTTGAGATTATGCGATTATTATTTTATAATTATTTCTTCTACTTGTTATGATTGTTAGTGCATGAACTTGATCAATTTATGTGCTTTATATGTGATTATTGCGATTGACTCGACAGAGCTATTTTGATAATTAGACGGTAAGTATAAGAACCTTCGAGTAGTTTTCACCGGATGAGTGTGTCAATTGCATGTGGTGTCGTAGACATACAGATATCACCTTAGGTAGCCATTTACGAGACTTGTTAGTTAATGCTTTATTCATAATTTGTTTGCATAGACATATAGTGAACCGTTTATGAATAATAGACTCATAATACACGCGACAGCGGGTTATGAGTAAATTAGTGTCTCGGGTTAATAATCATGAATCATATATTTCATAATTGAGGGGTTTGGGTGAGCAATTCTTGCATAGGGGGAAGACAAAATCCTAGATCCGTTTTTATTGATATTTTCTCGTGTTTATTTGCTTTCATAATTAGTTTAATTATTTAGTTGATTAAATTTGACAACTTTGCGTAGGCTGGATAAAAATCATAATTGTTAGAATTTGGTACTTAGGATTAGATAATTTGAGTATTCCCTGTGGGATCGACATCCGACTCTCACGAGTCCACTTTTACTACTTGTTTGCGATACGTGCACTTGCGTGTTAGGTATTTAGCACCCAACAAGTTTTTGGCGCCGTTGCCGGGGAATACGGCTAATTATCTATTTATTCTAATATCAAATTTGAGCAATTTTTCTTACTTCAGCCATTTAATTTTTATTTTTATTTTTATTTTTAATTTTTATTTTTTGTTGTTTTTGTTCATGTCTGGTTACAATGTTCGGGCACCTCAAACGGGATATGAATGGCTTCCATCTGATGAATACCTCCAAAACACCTATGATATGCCTCTGTTTTGTTCAGCATGTGGTGGAAATCATTATTCCGATCAATGTTGGGTATCACCAACAGCGACGAATTTCGACGAAATTAGCAACGGAGGTTATTGGAACACTTACACCAACAACACATACGAGCAAAGATTTCAAGACCAAGATTTGAACGAGTTTCAACATAGAGAGCCACAATTTGATGATTTTCAAAATTATTATCCAATGCAGCAGCAGCAGACCACTGATGAACAAGTTGATTTGGTATCTCTCATTGTCGAATTCATGAAGTCCACTCAAGCATCATTTCAAAACATGGAGATACAACTGGAAGAGATGACGCTCAAATTAAAATCTGAATCTCTTGAAAATATTTCAGACGAAATCGGCAATGGTTATATCAAAGAAAATTCGGGTGAAACCTGCGGTGAGAAAAATCTTCTATGTCCGAAAAATAGTGTCGATGTGAGAGAAATAGAAATTACGAAGACACTTGAGCATGATGAATCTGAGAAGGCAATCGAGCTAAACCACGAAGATGCCTCAGAACAAGAGAAGAAGGACATGGATGTAATGATTGAAGATATTCTAGTTGTGGGCTCTGTCGTTGATCTAAATGTGGATTTGAAGGCATCAATAGTGGTTGATGAGAAGACTAATATTTTTGAGGTGGAGGTTATACGCAGACTGGAGATTTTTGTATACCGATTTGAGGGAGCGGGTGATGAAGATCCCATCTTGGCTTCGTACCGATTGATTACAACCAAAAAAGACTACAAGCTAAAGTGGACCGTGACATATTGCAGTGCTATCCATGCCTTGGTTGCAATTGAAGTGATAGAGCTCATGGATGGATGCACAATCTACAAGGCTTTAGATTGGACATAACAATTTCAAGAAGCAAAGTCTGGCTGAAGACTTAAAATTTAGCGCTTCTCGGGAGGCAACCCGAGCTTTACTGTTTTTCATATTTTTCTTTAATTTTATGTTTTATTTTTATTTTCATAGGCATGCATTCTAATTAATTTATTTGATTTCTTATTTTTAAGGTCGGAATTGCGATCGGGATAGTCTTCCGATAGACATAGAGGGCATCTTCGCAAGAGGAAAATCAGATTTCTTTCCCACAAATTCTCACACCCCGAAGACAACGATTCCAACTAAATCAGGTGTTTTCTATCCTTAAACTTTGTGCTAATTTCGTTGAGGGCAACAAAAATTTTAAGTTTGGGGGTGAAAAAACATGTTTTTTTGTGCTTGTTTGTTTTAGTTTGCATGCATTAGGTTTTATTTATTTTTATTGCTTTTATCGTTTTTTCCGGAATAAAAAAAATAAAAAAAAAAAACAAAAAAAAAACAATTGCTTGAGTCGAATGCATCGATGAGAGATGATCAATGTTTAATGATGAGATTGTTTGTTTTGTGTGATAAGGATTAGATGTTTGTTTAGCTTTCGATTCAACGGAACTTAGAAACGAATTATTGTTAGGAATCACACTTTGTGCATTGCTTTGGTTGAATATTTTGTATTTTAAATTTGGAGTTAATTTGTGTTAGATCATGCTATGTTCGGTTTTAGACCTCACCTTAGGAAATTTATGATACGAAGTATTGAGTAGTGAGTGATTTGGGATATGATTTGGGCCATCTTTGAACCGTTTGAGCCTTTCAAGCCGACCTTTTTATCGAAATTATCATTAGAACCTTGATTTGAGCCTCGGAGAAAAGGTGTTCTTTCTTTTAGCCAAAGTGTATAAGGTAGAAAAGTGGAAATTTTTGAAAAACTAACCCTTGGAGTTCGGTCGAAATTTTTTATAAAGTCCTTCTTCTTCAAAAAAAAAAAAAAGACAAATATATATATGCTTCTATATATATAAAAAAAAAAGAAAAAAAAAAGAAAAAAAAAAGAGAGAAAAGGAAAAGAGAAAAAGAAGAAGAAGAGACTAGAAGGGAGAAGTAAGGACTAGTTGTTGAATTATTTTGAAAGCTCAATCCATTGTCTTAAGAGCAAAAGTGGAGACTTTTGAACTCTTAAGAATCGAGTTTCTTAAAGTCCTCAGAGGTGAATTAATTGTTTCAAACGCCTATCTTTCAAATTTTGGCGTAATCACCTCAATTCAAGAAGAATAGCCACATGTACCTATATTTCCTACCTCGAACCAAATAGCCTAACAATTGAAAGCCAAAAAGCCCCAATGATCCCAATAGCTTAATGTTCGATATTAGTAGAGTAGAATAATTTGGTGAGTATTTGGAGTCAAACATATGCATGTAAGCATAATTTTTTTTTTCTATCTTTAATTTACAAATATTGGATGCTTGAAGCAATTGCATGATTTGCGGTTTTTGGCTATGGTAAGTGACTAAGTGCTTTTGAATTTTGAGCTTGCGAATGCCTACGAATTTTTATTATAACTACAAGTTCTGAAAACATGAAGTTGGTCATTGATCTATGTGATGAGATGCGGTAGTTGAGTCATTTGCTTACGATTAGATTTTGCTTGAGGACAAGCAAAAGTTCAAGTTTGGGGGTGTGTTGAGTGTAGATATTACACTCAATACGTTTACTTTACGTGGATCTTTTGTTTAGATTTAATTATATTTGTTCTTTAATTGATTGATTTTGTGTTTTATAGGTGAAAAACGAGAATTAGGTGTCCATGAAGGAAAAAAGATCAAAAAGAAAGGAAAAAGTTGCAAATAAGGAAACAAATCAAATTGGAAAAAGGAATCTCGCCACAACTTTGACAGTGTCCACCATTTCGAACATATCTCTCTCATACGAACTCCGAATTAGGTGATTTTGACGGCATTGGACAGCTAATTTCAAGGCCTACAATTCTTATTTACACAACATTCCGAAATTCGGACTCCACCATGGCACAAATCGACGAACAAATCCTGATGGGGAAAAGTGGCGGAAATTGATTCCTATTAGGTTTCCACTACTTCCTTATCAAGAAAAGCCTATAAAAGCAACAAGTCTCTACACCATAAACACGAAATTTTACACCACAAAACACGAAGAACGAAGAATAACGAAGGCTCAAGCATAGTTTTTCTTATTTATTTTATTTATTCTATTTTGTTTATCATAAGAATTACGAGTAGCTAAGTTTTTAATCTAGGATTTTGTTGGAACCCTATGTGGGGATGGTGAACCCGTTTTCTTGAGATTATGCGATTATTATTTTATGATTATTTCTTCTACTTGTTATGATTGTTAGTGCATGAACTTGATCAATTTATGTGCTTTATATGTGATTATTGCGATTGACTCGACAGAGCTATTTTGATAATTAGACGGTAAGTATAAGAACCTTCGAGTAGTTTTCACCGGATGAGTGTGTCAATTGCATGTGGTGTCGTAGACATACAGATATCACCTTAGGTAGCCATTTACGAGACTTGTTAGTTAATGCTTTATTCATAATTTGTTTGCATAGACATATAGTGAACCGTTTATGAATAATAGACTCATAATACACGCGACAGCGGGTTATGAGTAAATTAGTGTCTCGGGTTAATAATCATGAATCATATATTTCATAATTGAGGGGTTTGGGTGAGCAATTCTTGCATAGGGGGAAGACAAAATCCTAGATCCGTTTTTATTGATATTTTCTCGTGTTTATTTGCTTTCATAATTAGTTTAATTATTTAGTTGATTAAATTTGACAACTTTGCGTAGGCTGAATAAAAATCATAATTGTTAGAATTTGGTACTTAGGATTAGATAATTTGAGTATTCCCTGTGGGATCGACATCCGACTCTCACGAGTCCACTTTTACTACTTGTTTGCGATACGTGCACTTGCGTGTTAGGTATTTAGCACCCAACAAGTTTTTGGCGCCGTTGCCAGGGAATACGGCTAAATTATCTATTTATTCTAATATCAAATTTGAGCAATTTTTCTTACTTCAGTCATTTAATTTTTATTTTTATTTTTATTTTTTATTTTTATTTTTTGTTGTTTTTGTTTCATGTCTGGTTACAATGTTAGTGAAATGAATCATTTAATATTAATATCTCCAATATGTCTCTTCAAATCGAGGATTTATTTATTTATATGGTCCGACTCTGATACCATATTGAATGACCATCTCAGCCAAAAACTTAAGCAATTACTGAAAAATATCATTTAATATTAATATCTCCGACAGGTACAGTGGCCACTTGGACACCCAAGTTTTCAAGCTAACCCCAAGTGCTGTGAATTATCTCAAGGACAAAGCTGTAACACCACCACCACTACCATCAAACAAAACAACGGCGTTGTCAAGATCAGTAAACAGCACCTACAACGTTGTGGCGGTGCAGGGCTCTGTCGTCGGACAAAGAGAGAGTAGTGTCTACTCTTTTTACTTCAATGGACATACGTTCTAGGCTCATTCCGCCATTGCCGGATTCCTACTGCGGGAACGCAGTGCTGTATGCCGAAGCGTCGGCAAAGGGCGGTGATATTGAAAAACTGCCGTTTTCGAAGCTGGTGGAGTTGGTCTGGGAGGGGCCGAGAAGATTCTCGGACGAGTATGCGAGATCTGTGATAGACTTGTTGGAGATTGAGAAATGGAAGCTGAGGCCTCGTATAGAATACAACGTGACTTCATGGTTGAAATTGGGGTTGGATCAGGTGGTTTATCCATGGGGTAAGCCTTTTTGTGTGGGGCCCATATGTACTGTACTCGCACACGCTTGTTTTCTATTTCCAAGTGTTGAAGGTGGAGTTAATGCCTTAGTTTCTCTACCGTCCGAGGAGATGCAGCGGTTCCAGGCCTATTTCCATCAATTCTTCACCTGAAATTATTGCATTCTCCATCTTTCGTTTTTTTTTTTTTTTTTTTTTTTTTTTAAATTAATTTGATGATGCATCATCTAGTTTGACGATATTTTAAATATTGTAACGTTTAACACTAATTGTTTTTTTTAAATTTTGGCAGTGGAAGATTATAGCTACTATTGTTTGTTAACAAGAACGATGACATTAAATTAATTTAGAAATATTAATGATAAATAGCATTAAACTACCTAAATTTTGTTAATTTTTTTGTGGATTACCCCTCAACCAAAAAAAAAAAAAAAACAAAAACCTCTGATCCCACCCGAACTTGATATGTTGTGCCACGTTACCTTTTTTTTTTTTTTTCAGGCGAAAATGGCCGGAATTAGACCTATGTGCGTTGCACAAGTGATTTGAAGGGATTTTTTGTCTTTTCAAAACTAAAAATCCCTAATTCTTCCATTACTCTTCCATTTCTTCTTCACTCTTCTTCCTCCTCGTCTTCTTTTCCACCACTCCTTTTTTTCTCCTCCGCCACTACAGTAGTCTCCTTCAATGGTTTTTGACGTTCTTCCTCCTCCTCTTCTTTTCCACCACTCATTTTCTTCTTTTCCGCCACTACAATAGTCTCCTTCAGTGACCTCTGTCGCTGTTCCATTTGTCACTTTCTCTCTGATTTCCCCTTCAAATTTAAACTCACCTAATTTTCACAGACGCTTTTACCAATTCAACCTCAAATAGTTCCCCAAACAGGCTGAAATTCCGGCCCTCTATGTCGCCATCAGAGAAGGCGTTTCTCGATGGACAGATTCTTTGCAAACGACGACATAGAGACAAAGGGGACAAGAGAAAAAATTGGGATGCTTCTCATAACAAAGTCTTGCTCAAAGGCAGTGAGAAGGTCACCTCTGTTCTCGAAGAAATGGCAAAACTCGTAAGTCCTGATTGATTTTTTTTCCTCATTGTATTTTGGATTTCTTGTCCTGTGTAATTTGGTTGCCCGTGAAATTAATTTTACTTTCTTCCCTTGATATGTTATTGATGTATTGTTGAGTTGTTCAGTGTGTGAATTTGCTTCTTATTAATTTTTTGTACATGCTTCTGGTCATATCATGGAAATAATTAATAATTTCTTTGAGGTGAAGAGTGGCGGAGAAGAAGAAAAACATGAAGAAGAGGAGGATGAAGAAGAGCAAGAAGAAGCGGAAGAGAAAATGGAAGAATTAGAGGAATTAGGGATTTTAGTTTTGAAAAGACAAAATAGTCCTTCAAAATCTCATGTGCAATGCACATGGGTCTAATTCCGGCAATTTTCGCCTGAAAATTCAAAAAAAAAAAGGTAACATGGCACAACTTATCGAGTTCAGGTGTGATCATGGTTTTTTTTTTAGATGTGGTAATCTGCAAAAACGGACAAAGTTTAGGTGGTTTAATGTTATGGGGCCTTAAGATATGCATCCCTAGTGGGAAAATATATTAGATGCTACACCCAAGGATATTAAAACATTAGAAATACATTCTTTTGTGAAATTATTCATATAGTGCCCTTACGGTGAATTAAGGTCGTCTCCCTCTCCTTCTCTACTGTGAATCGGCGGCAATAACTCTCAAAGTATACAACAACAAAATTCAACTCCTCGTCGCCACAAACGTCTACGAAGGTCTACGTCACGCAACAGATCGAGTAGTTTTGTTTTGAATTTTTTTCTGGAAACTTAAAAATTAGAGTTTTAATACAATATAATATGCAGGGGAGATGTGAATGAATGGTAAGCAGGACATAAATGTGCTAGATCCAGGTTAGATTGTGCATATGTGCAATTTTCTGTTTCATTATGTTCAATCATTGGGTGTACTATGAAAATAGTTTGATGGTTTGAATCTATAATTGGAATTTACTTATCTGTGTTTACATTCTGCATATTTTTTCAATTATAGTTATAGTCAGTGATATGTTTAGGCGTATTTCTATGGTAGTCTATGGGAATATGCAGTAGGCTGTGGTGTAGTAACTATTTATGTTTAAGATTTCTATTGTAGTCTATGAACTTCTCACTGCAATTCTATGGTATTATTCCGTAAACTGGTAAGGTATTTTGTACGGTTGTAGCTATGTATTGCTGGGATTCGTTTATTTTGGCCGACTACAAAGTAGTTGGTAGAAGAAAATTGTATATTGAATATGTTTCTGGGTATTTAAATGGTAGTCTATGGTAATATGTAGTAGGCTGTGGCACAGTAATTGCTATTGTAGTTTATGTTGTAATATTTCTATGGTAGTCTATGAATTTTCCTGCTTTTCTATGATTGTCTGTAAACTGGTAGGTGTTTCATGCGATTGTAGTTATGCGGTAGTGCTAGGATTCGTTTATTTTGGCTGACTAGTAAGCATGATAGCATAAAATTGTATATTGAATGAATATTTTGACTTCAATATGCTGCATCACCTAACTGGAATCTACCGGTAGGGTGAATATATGTGGACATTTTGTGGACCCACAATGTGAGGGTGATAATAAATAGCTGCAAATTTTTCTTACTAGTCATTATTGTTAATGAAATGTGTGTATGAGTTAATTAGGCATATGCGAATATCTAAATTATCTATGTAAAACTATGGTATTCTACGGGTGTTGTGCTAGTCTATGATTGTCTATGCACTGTTTGATCATCACCAACACATTTAGCTTTCCTAACAATTAAGCTACAAATTGAAACAAGACGAAGAAGAATCCACTCAAAACCTTTCGTTATCCCTACAGATGTCTACGTCTAGCGACAAATCAAGTAAGTATTTTATTATATTTTCTTGTTTTAGAGTCCTCATCGCTTATTGCCCAATTTCAAAACTAGAAATTTCAACAAGAAAAAAATTGCTAAAGATATGAGGGTGAAAGTACAACAAGATATAAACGCGCTAGACCCTGGTAAGAATGAAACATGTGTGGTAATTTGTTTGAGTGTATTCGTAAGATTATTTGGTGTCTATGATTACTATGTAGTTACTTTGGATGTATATGTTAAATGACTTGACTGTGTGCGAGAGTTATTGCGAGATTAAGACAATAATATTGTTTAAATGTTTCTATAGTTGTCTTTGCTAATTCGTCTGGTTGTTGGTTGATTATGTGAAATAGTGTTTTTGGCGTCTACAACATTTTAAGAACCGGGTTTGAATATATATTCTGGGTGATTTGATTGTGTAAAACATAGTTTGGGTCTCTACAAAAGTTTATACCTTATTTATGTAGACTTATAGAACAAAAAATTCGGCTGATTTTATTGATGTTATAGAAAATAATTTACTGTGTGTATCATGTGCGTGTTAAATTGTGTAAAACCACAAAATAAGTACATTGTGTTCAAATAAGTGTTGTTTGTGAATTAGTTAGTTTATTGTACAACAAATGTTTTGACTATCTATGGATGCCTATGATACTGGTGATGTCAACACTAAAATAGATATGAACAAATTTTGTATTACTTATACTATACACAACTCTTAACATTTTGGGGTCCTCATAGCATGTAGCATCTGTGGATGTCGACACCATTTGTTAAAAACACAAGTACCCTGTTTTTTTTTTTTTTTTTTTTTTTTGTCTATACATTATGTTGGTGTCTACATCTTTTTGTAAACTCTCCTGAATGTGTGATTGTCTATATGTGTCTATGCATTGTATAGACTGACCTTTTGAACATAAAATTATTCCTCTTTAACTGTATGGTATTCGTACTTATTCCTCTTTATATTCCCTGCATTTTTTTATTTAACATTTATTTCTTCATATGTTCGTTTTCCAATTACATGAGTATATATATTTAACTTGTATAAGTAACATGCAAAAAACATACTTGGAGAAATAGGGAATTATGTGATATCCCATTCGGCGAACATTTAAGCATTCAGACTAGTCCACAATAAAAAATTGAGAACAACGATTGTAGTGTAATTGTCTTGTACATCATCAGAGAACATTTTTTTCAAGGGTTGTTGGAAATAAAAGATGTTGATGAAGGGGTTACAAATATTAGAAGAGACATTGTAGAATACCGATTGAATTACAAAATTGATTAAGCTATAAGTTCATGCTAGTTTGTTTTCGTTTTTTTTACGCAAGTGTAAACATTTGTGCAAATGACATTTGCGGTGTTTCTATGTGAAAAGAATTATATGGTTATATTGACAATATTTAATGTTCATATTCAGTGCTCGTTTTGCCATTTGTTCAGTAAAGACACTTTAGTATTTGACATATACTGAAATAGGTTAATCCATTCATACTATATGACCATGCCATACGTAATATGATATATCAGATAACCTATAATGTACTATAGTATACTATAATATACTGTATTGTAATATAATGTTCAGTTGTATACTATGGAAACTGTGTTATGTATTATAGTATGTTACAGCATACTGCAACTATAATATACTATAGTATTCTATAGTATATTGTATTGTATTACAGCGTGCAATGGTTTACCATCGAAATTGCATTGTAATAGTATATGGTAATTGTATACATTCACAATATGAATTGCCAGAAGCACCAAAAAAATTGTATGGGTGGTGTCAGAAATTAATACATAAACTGAAATTCCAACAACAATGAAAGAATGAACTGTGAACTAGCTATGCAAAGTTATGTAAAACTATGTGTAACAAACAAAGCGATGACCACAAAACAACACATCAATTCATCCAATGCATAAAGAATCAACAAACACAAATACAATAACTTGTGAAGAAAACAAAATATTGAAAAGCTTATTAATTTTTAACAACTTCAAAATAAAATATTAAATACTCAACTACTCAATCAAAATAAAATTCTTGGAACAATAACAAACCAGTCAACCAGTCATCAAAAAAATGAAGTTGCTGAAAAAAAGAAGTAGTCTTCAACGAAAATCCATGAGTTAAAAAAAGACAATCTAAGTTTCAATAATAATCGTAGTACAACTGCTGTAAAATACTCCAAATAAAAATACTCAATTGCGCTTGTGTATATCTTCTTGTTGTGAA